AAAGAGGCAACATCTATCTATGATCTGGCAACTTTTTATCGCGGCTCGATAAACAGACAACAAACAAGCCGCCATTTTGTTGACCATGTCAGAGGTGAGTTGTTACGTAATCAGCACAGAGCAAAAAGCTAACATTAAATTCTTTTTACAACTCAGAAAATGAGACAGTTGAATCGAAGCAACAAGTTTATGGGGATAATTTTTTCTCGTGCACAAATTTTCAGGTGGTATTCACGATTCAAAAGCAGTGTGGAAATGATTACTAATGCACCTAGACCTGGAAGCTAAATTTCTGTTCATAATGACGAACTCATTGCAAAGGGCAGAGAACGCAGACAAGAAGGTCATTGTTTTACTGTGAGGATGATGGCAGATGAATCTGGTGTTAATAGAGAGACCATTCATAACATTTTAGTGCAAGATTTTTGCAAGAAAAAAAAATTGCTTGCCGGTTTGTACCACATTCGTTGTCTAATGACGCAAAAGATCAACGGGTTAAGAACCCAAGGGACATCATCAAAACAAGAATTTTTGGCCCCAAAAACAAGTGTGTGTTCTCAGCCTTCCACATTATTCCACAAATTTGTCTCCCTGTGATTATTTTTCTATTCCAAAAATTAAAGTTACCATTGAAAGGACGCTTCTTTGATGATATTGATGACATCCAAAGGGCCGTAACATCGACTTTAAAGACCATAACAACAGAAGAACTACAAAGGTTGTTCCAGTGTTTGTTAGATCGTGCCACTTGCTGTATCAATGCACAAAGGGCTTACTTTAAATCAGATACAGGTAATATTTTCAACTGTTAATTATTTTAATTTTTATGAAATGAGTCTCATTACTGAATTGTCGGACCTTGTATTTGCACATCACGAAAACCTGAAATAGTACTACAAGTAAAATATTGAACCTTATCATCACATGATTACCGCTGTCCAGGCAGAAACACAGACAACAACTAGAACCATTGCTAGAATGTAAGGCCACTGTGAGATAATGATAACCCTGGCAGAAAAATGGTATGACAGAAGCTCTTAAACAGAGAAAAAATGGTAAGACAGAAGCTCTAATACAGAGAAATGAATGGTATGACAGAAGCTCTAACAGAGAGAAATGAATGGTATGACAGAAGCTATTATAGAGAGAAATGAATGGTTTGACAGAAGCTCTAATACAGAGAAATGATTGGCTTGACATAAGCTCTAATAGAGAGAAATGAATGGTAAGACAGAAGCTCTAACACAGAAAAATGAATGGTATGACAGAAGCTCTAATACAGAAAAATGAATGGTATGACAGAAGCTCTAATGCAGAAAAATGAATGGTATGACAGAAGTTCTAATACAGAAAAATGAATGGTATGACAAAAGCTCTAATACAGAGAAAAAAATGATAAGACAGAAGCTCTAATAGACAGAAATGAATGGTGTGACACAAGATTTAATAAAGAGAAATGAATGGTAAGACAGAAGCTCTAATAGAGAGAAATGGTTTGACAGAAGCTCTAATAGAGAAAAATAAATGGTAATACGGAAGCTCCAATAGAGAGAAATGAATGGTAAGACAGAAGCTCTAATTGAGAGAAATGAATAGTTTGACAGAAGCTCTAATTCGGAGAAATAAATGGTTTGACAAAAGCTCTAATAGAGAGAAATAAATGGTAATACAGAAGCTCTAATAGAGAGAAATGAATGGTAAGACAAAAGCTCTAATACAGAGAAATGAATAGTTTGACAAAAGCTCTAATACAGAGAAATGAATGGTTTGACAGAAGCTCTAATACAGAGAAATGAATGGTTTGACAGAAGCTCTAATAGAGAACAATGAATGGTTTGATAGAAGCTCTAATACAGAAAAATGTATGGTATGACAGAAGCTCTAATACAGAGAAAAAAAATGGTATGACAGAAGCTCTAATACAGAAAAATGAATGGTATGACAGAAGCTCTAATACAGAGACATGAATGGTGTAACAGAAGCTCTAATACAGAGACATGAATGGTATGACATAGACTTTAATACAGAGACATGAATGGTGTAACACAAGCTCTAATAGAGAGACATGAATGGCGTAACAGAAGCTCTAATACAGAGAAATGAATGGTATGACATTGGCTCTAATACAGCGACATGAATGGTGTAACAGAAGCTCTAATACAGAGACATGAATGGTGTAACAGAAGCTCTAATACAGAGACATGAATGGTGTAACAGAAGCTCTAATACAGAGACATGAATGGTGTAACAGAAGCTCTAATACAGAGACATGAATGGTGTAACAGAAGCTCTAATACAGAGACATGAATGGTGTAACAGAAGCTCTAATACAGAGACATGAATGGTGTAACAGAAGCTCCAATACAGAGACATGAATGGTGTAACAGAAGCTCTAATACTAAGAAATAAATGGTGTGACATAGGCTCTGATACAGAGACATGAATGGTGTGACATAGGCTCTAATACAGAGACATGAATGGTGTAACAGAAGCTCCAATACAGAGACACGAATAGTGTAACAGAAGCTCCAATACAGAGACATGAATGGTGTAACAGAAGCTCTAATACAGAGACATGAATGGTGTAACAGAAGCTCTAATACAGAGACATGAATGGTGTAACAGAAGCTCTAATACAGAGACATGAATGGTGTAACAGAAGCTCTAATACAGAGACATGAATGGTGTGACATAGGCTCTAATACAGAGACATAAATGGTGTGACATAGGCTCTAATACAGAGACATGAATGGTGTGACATAGGCTCTAATACAGAGGCATGAATGGTGTAACAGAAGCTCTAATACAGAGACATTAATGGTGTAACAGAAGCTCTAATACAGATACATGAATGGTGTGACATAGGCTCTAATACAGAGACATAAATGGTGTGACATAGGCTCTAATACAGAGACATAAATGGTGTGACATAGGCTCTAATACAGAGACATGAATGGTGTGACATAGGCTCTAATACAGAGGCATGAATGGTGTAACAGAAGCTCTAATACAGAGACATTAATGGTGTAACAGAAGCTCTAATACAGAGACATGAATGGTGTAACAGAAGCTCTAATACAGAGACATTAATGGTGTAACAGAAGCTCTAATACAGAGGCATGAATGGTGTAACAGAAGCTCTAATACAGAGACATTAATGGTGTAACAGAAGCTCTAATACAGAGGCATGAATGGTGTAACAGAAGCTCTAATACAGAGACATTAATGGTGTAACAGAAGCTCTAATACAGAGACATGAATGGTGTAACAGAAGCTCTAATACAGAGACATTAATGGTGTAACAGAAGCTCTAATACAGAGACATGAATGGTGTAACAGAAGCTCTAATACAGAGACATTAATGGTGTAACAGAAGCTCTAATACAGAGACATGAATGGTGTAACAGAAGCTCTAATACAGAGACATTAATGGTGTAACAGAAGCTCTAATACAGAGGCATGAATGGTGTAACAGAAGCTCTAATACAGAGACATTAATGGTGTAACAGAAGCTCTAATACAGAGACATGAATGGTGTAACAGAAGCTCTAATACAGAGACATGAATGGTGTGACATAGGCTCTAATACAGAGACATGAATGGTGTGACATAGGCTCCAATACAGAGACATTAATGGTGTGACATAGGCTCTAATACAGAGACATGAATGGTGTGACATAGGCTCTAATACAGAGACATGAATGGTGTGACATAGGCTCTAATACAGAGACATGAATGGTGTGACATAGGCTCTAATACAGAGTCATGAATGGTGTGACATAGGCTCTAATACAGAGACATGAATGGTGTGACATAGGCTCTAATACAGAGACATAAATGGTGTAACAGAAGCTCTAATTAAGAACTGTGAGAGAGAACTAAACTGACGGCTGACATGAACAATGGTGATGAAATGTTGCTGTCTCTAGAAAGTCACAGTGAGAAAACTTACCAATGATGGGATTAGAATGTTCTACGGGCCACAGAAAGCAGGAGGGGACGTGCCGCACCCAAGAGAAAAAATAATGAGAGATAAGTTTAAAAAAATAAAAAGAGAAGAAAAAAAAAAAAACGAGAAGAGGAAGAATTTGAGAAGTGAAGTGAGACTAAGTTTATCAGAAATGGAGTTTCACGCAACAGTATAGGACAGAAGTGCTTGCTAGGATCTTGAGCCAGTGGCAGGTCAGAGATTAAATCATAACACTGAATATACGTTAAAAGAAATTAATTGTAAATCAATAAACACTGATCGTGTAGTTGTTTACTGTAAATCAACATAATTGATCTATGAAAGTGTTCTTGATTGTAAGAATCAAATTCTGGCAGTTCCACTTCACAGATCATCCGATAGTCGATCCGTTCCTGTGTCAATGACAACCACACAGAATGTCCATGACTGTTCCTTGTGACAATATTATTTTTTATTTAAATCAACATAACCGATCGATCAATAAATCGTTTCTAGTAAATCATCCAATGACATACACGCAGAGATTGTTGTTTATTTGTTTACACATACTGTATTTTTTCAAGCCCAGATCTGAGATATCTTATCATGTAAACTGCTATTAGATTGTTCCAGCTTAGCAGGCCCCACTGTGACAGATCAGACCCCCACTGTGACAGATCAGGTCCCACTGTGACAGATCAGGCCCCCACTGTGACAGATCAGGCCCCCACTGTGACAGATCAGACCCCCACTGTGACAGATCAGGCCCCACTGTGACAGATCAGGCCCCACTGTGACAGATCAGGTCCCACTGTGACAGATCAGGCCCCCACTGTGACAGATCAGGCCCCCACTGTGACAGATCAGACCCCCACTGTGACAGATCAGGCCCCACTGTGACAGATTAGGCTCCACTGTGACAGATCAGGCCCCACTGTGACAGATCAGGCCCCATTGTGACAGATCATGCTCCCACTGTGACAGATCAGGCCCCACTGTGACAAATCAGGCCCCCACTGAGAACTGGGCCTGATGGAGCCTCACTGTGAACCTAACCGGAGCCACGCCGTTGGTACAGTCTGCCCTTGAACTTGGTCGTCTCCTTGACCCCGTGCTCGTCAAGTATGTCAGATGTGTAGCCGGCAATGTATCTCCTGGTACCGAGGACCTCGATGGTGGCTGTTTCCTCTCCGACAGACTGGAGTTCTGGGATCGCAGAACCTCGACGTAAAACATGACAGGACATTAGCCCAGGCAGGTCTCCCAGGATGTCTTCAGGCATGTTGCAAACTCCCATCTTGACATCAATGTCATTCTCAGCCAAGGTGAAGGCCGGTTTCAATAGATTTGCTTTGAACGAATTATCGACAGGTGTTTCTTTCAACGGATTCTGGTCCTCGGTAATGGACGTTTTACGAAGCAAAGGAATGCCTTTATGGATATATCCCTGGGAGATGATCTCACGTCCTTTGTTAATGGACGACCTACGCATCATGTCAATGCCCTCGTTCATGAGCTCGTCTTCTAGGATGGAATTTCTGCGAGAAGTGTTGCCTCTACTGTGGACGTCAGGTCGGTGCTGATGATTGTCAATCTTCTCAACGAGTGACTCTCTTCTGCTGGAGCTGACACTGATTTCTTCCGAGTGCCCACAGGTCATAAATATGTCTTCAGCAGTGTTCTTCGACCCTCTTCTCATACTTGTCCACTCAGACAAAGGGATCCCGGTCAAGAAAGACCCTCTCCTGAGTCCAGCCTCTGACATGGCAGAGCTCCGCCTGAATGTGGCCAGTCTAACGCCATCAGCGGGCAGGATAGTGGCCCCTTCCTTGAGGGACAGCGTTTCACAACCGGAAGGATGGAAGTCGAAGTCCCGCAGCACTTTAGCCACCACCATCTTCAGCTGTAGCAGGGCGAACCTCAGGCCGGCGCATGACCTTGGCCCACTTCCAAACGGCATCCAGGAGCTGGGGTGTCTGGTCCTTCGTTTCTCTGGCATGAATCTGTCAACGATACAAACATGCCAGTTTGTTCAATTAGACCAACATCTAGTGTTACGCGGAGAGTATTGTCATATAAAGACTCTGACACGAATCTGTCAACAAAACAAGCATGCCTGTTTGTTCAATTAGGTCAGCATCTAGTTTCATACAGAGATTATTGTCAAATAAAAGAAGCCTTCGGAAATTGACTATAACCTGCAGCACCGGTATAACACAAGGCAGCCTTGCAGCTTAGACACCTCTAGGCACCGCACACCCCGCCCCCGACTGATAGATTAAATATTATTTCACCCATAGAACTATGTTTATGTGCTACTCACCACACACAATGCAGCACCACACATAATGCAGCAACACATACAGTGTAGCACCACACATAATGCAGCAACACATACAGTGTAGCACCACACATAATGTAGCACCACACACAATGCAGCACCACACATAATGCAGCAACACACACAGTGTAGCACCACACATAATGCAGCAACACACACAGTGTAGCACCACACATAATGTAGCACCACACACAATGCAGCACCACACATAATGCAGCAACACACACAGTGTAGCACCACACATAATGCAGCAACACACACAGTGTAGCACCACACATAATGCAGCAACACACACAGTGCAGCACCACACATAATGCAGCAACACATACAGTGTAGCACCACACATAATGCAGCAACACACACAGTGTAGTACCAGTATAGTCGGTATTATTGGCGCTCCATCTGGACTTTCCCGCGGTCCATGCGTTGATAAACTCTGAACTATAAAGTGTTTCAATTCATGGGTTGATGAACTCTGAACTATAAAGTGTTTCAATTCATGGGTTGATGAACTCTGAACTATAAAGTGTTTCAATTCATGGGTTGATGAACTCTGAACTATAAAGTGTTTCAATTCATGGGTTGATGAACTCTGAACTATAAAGTGTTTCAATTCATGGGTTGATGAACTCTCGACTATAAAGTGTTTTGATTCATGGGTTGATTAACCCTGGGCTGTAAATTGTTTTAACATCCCGAGGCAGAGGAAGAAACAACAAAGGTTGTAATAAATCTTGACTATAAAGGGTTTCGATTCATAATTGATTAACTCTGAACTATACAGTGTTTCGATTCATGGGTTGATGAACTCTCGACTATAAAGTGTTTCAATTCATGGGTTGATTTACTCTGAACTATAAAGTGTTTCAATTCATGGGTTGATTAACCCTGGGCTGTAAATTGTTTTAACATCCCGAGGCAGAGGAAGAAACATCAAAGGTTGTAATAAATCGCAGTCATCATGCAAAATGAGAAACAAAATGAAATAAGCAGATGGAGAGATAAACGAACTAGTCGTAAAGAACTGGTGAGTATCCGCGTAGGTTGGTGACATGAGCGCTAATAGAACATCTAACACTTTACCTGAGCGGGTCGAACTGGTGAGGGTCATGACCCCAGTGTTTGGAATCGTAATGAATATCCCATAAATTGGCATGCACCAACATGCCCGCTGGGATCCTCAGTCCGCCAACGGTGCAGTCCTCCATGCATCTCCGAGCTGTCACTCTGACAGGATAGAAAGAGACAATGAACACACCAGATGGCAACATCAACACACAAGATGGCAGCATCAACACACAAGATAGCAGCACCAACACACAAGATAGCAGCATCAACACACAAGATGGCAGCATCAACACACACGATAGCAGCATCAACACACAAGATGGAAGCATCAACACACAAGATGGCAGCATCAACACACAAGATGGAAGCATCAACACACAAGATGGAAGCATCAACAAGATGGAAGCATCAACACACAAGATAGCAGCATCAACACACAAGATGGAAGCATCAACAAGATGGCAGCATCAACACACAAGATGGAAGCATCAACACACAAGATGGAAGCATCAACACACAAGATGGCAGCATCAACACACAAGATGGCAGCATCAACACACAAGATGGAAGCATCAACACACAAGATGGAAGCATCAACACACAAGATGGAAGCATCAACACACAAGATGGAAGCATCAACACACAAGATGGCAGCATCAACACACACGATGGCAGCATCAACACACACGATGGCAGCATCAACACACAAGATGGCAGCATCAACACACAAGATGGAAGCATCAACACACAAGATGGCAGCATCAACACACAGGATAGCAGGCATCAACACACAGGATAGCAGCATCAACACACAAGATAGCAGCATCAACACACAAGATGGAAGCATCAACACACAAGATGGAAGCATCAACAAGATGGCAGCATCAACACACAAGATGGAAGCATCAACACACAAGATGGAAGCATCAACACACAAGATGGCAGCATCAACACACAAGATGGCAGCATCAACACACAAGATGGAAGCATCAACACACAAGATGGAAGCATCAACACACAAGATGGAAGCATCAACACACAAGATGGAAGCATCAACACACAAGATGGCAGCATCAACACACACGATGGCAGCATCAACACACACGATGGCAGCATCAACACACAAGATGGCAGCATCAACACACAAGATGTAAGCATCAACACACAAGATGGCAGCATCAACACACAGGATAGCAGGCATCAACACACAGGATAGCAGCATCAACACA